CGACTTGATCACTGAGCTTTGTAGCTCTCTGCCGCAGGCAGGCTGTTTGTCGTCGAGTGAATAATGCGCATGTGCGTTTTTTCTTGGGGAAACATTCTAACTACGCATGCTTATGCGGCAGGTTCTCGGTCAGAAAGCGTAACGGTCGTACATACAAACAAGCAGAATAATAGTATAGATTGGCCAAATGACAGTTAAGCCAGTTTGGGTTTTATTTGCTCTTGAAACAGAACACTTTCCGGGACCTTGGGAAATTACATCTAGTATATTATTTATAATACATAGTATAACTATTGCACAGTGAAAACTAGTTAAAGTTTTATGAAGCTTAAACATTACCCATAATTATCTTTTCAAACATCCTTTAATTTTTCAACTTCGTGAAAATAATGATAAAAATAAAAACAGTGGTATTGCGACACATATAGTCACAAGTATATATTGATCGTGGTTCAAGAAAAAAAGTTTTTTTTTACACGCTAAAACAGGTTGAAATATGAACCACTGCGGGCTTCTTTGGAATAACGAATTTTCAATGCTACGATTCTGCAGTAAATAAAGAAATAAAACAGCAAATAAAACTTGAATTAAATGTTGCATGTTCTAAACAAAGCGGAATCTTAAAAGATATCTCAAAACAACTTATTTTTGTGTGGGAAAAGATACTATTTGTCTACTATTATGCTAAGTAAAATATGCCTGCTGAATACATGCATGTCTTATATTGTAGATAACAATTATATTATGACTTATAATGAACTGAATTAGTGGTAAAGACAAGTTTTTTGTTCGATAACTCGTTTTACATTTAAAAAAGCAAACATTTTCCGAGGCTTAGCGCAAAACATCTTCATATGCCGTTTTCTGCACAATCTCTTAAAGTGTATGGGTTACTTACATACGGAATTGCTAAGAGGGTTCATAGAGGCTCATTATCAGAATAAGATATTTCTTTTTGGAAAGATCAGTCAGATGATACCCAAGCAATTTATATCTAAAAGGTAAAAAACTTGTAAATTCATCTTTGTTTTGGATGATATTTATAGTAAAGAAGTTTCGTGAAACTAAGACATATTAAATAATTAATCCATTTTAATTTTAAAGAATTGTTTTTTTCGCATTGACGAATTTTTCCTTCAGCAGACGGTTTTTGTTTTATTCGCCATTCCTTTCCTTGTAAGGGTTTCTGCTAATGGTTACATATTAATAAAGTTGCTGTCCGTCCAGATAAAACGGACATTTCCATCTGACTTATGAGCATGCGTATGAGTTTAATAGTCACGCGAAACCAGGCGATAGACAGCGATTGAGGTTGTTTTTGATTATCGGGTAAGATTTAAGTCTTTCACGAAAAAAAAATCAAATTTTTAGTCTTAAACAGCGTCCTTTATAACGGTCAAATCAAGTTATGATGGGCCAATAAATAGCCGAAAAAAGGCAGGGGAGGCTGCTGATTGGTTACAAATCTCTTCTGGTCAGCAGTTCTAAATTAGGGGTGGCTGGGCCTGAAACATAGGGGTCTCTGACCTGGCCCTTTTACTCACGTGTCTCATGATTTAGATTTAAAACAATACCAAGTTTAAGAATACTGATTACCGTGGTTAACTTTGGGCCGTGTACACTTGAAATAGGAGAGGATCGAGCCACTGAAGAAATAGATTTCTTGTTGTTGTTTTTAACTCTCGGTAAAATAGTTTTAGATATTTTCAAAATTAGTTTGTTTGTTTGTAATTAAGCACAAAGCTACACGATGGGCTAGCTGTGCTCTGCCCACCACGGGTATCGAAACCCGGATTCTAGCGTTGGAAGTCCGCAGACATACCACTGTGCCACTGGTGGGCAAATTCAAAATTAGTACATGAACTAAAGGAACAGGAGATTTATGTGGTTAACTCTGGGCTGTGTACATCTGAAACAGGGAAGGACCAAGTTACTGAAGAAATAGTTTTTTAACCCCCGGTAAAATTGTTTTAGATATTTTCAAAATCAGTTCATGAATGCCATGAAATTAAATTTTGTACATGAATTAAAGGAACAGGAGTTTTATGTACTAAATTTTCGACACATTTTTATTTTTGCTTTGTTTTAGGTAGCACACCATGAAATAAAGAAGTTATTCGACGACAGAAGTATGTAGTATTTTTGGCGCACGTATACTCTTAGATAACAGCAGGCACGAGAGTGGCTTCTGTCGGCTTTTAGAAGTCAAAAAACCAGCATGGCGACGACCAGCCGAGTATAAAATTAGCTTGTATTATTTTCTTACATAAAAGAATAATAATAATAACAGAGATCTGTGAAACTACCTTTCTCGTTTTGAAATGTTATCTTCTCTTACAGAAAGAGCAACAAACGTTCCTGGAAATAGGAAGAATTAAAAGAAATACTAGAACAAATCTGGTTTAATGAAATCTAAAAATAACTAAAGAATCTTATGCTATATGTGTCATCCTCTTCAAATATAAACAAGGTATGAAGATTTCAGTAACATCTGTGTATGTAACTACTAACCTTGACGAATTTCATTACATATGTACAATTTATTTGATTGCATCGTTACGAAACAATTACGTAACTCAACCGAGCGTGCAGTGTTTCATATTACAATAAAACTGAAACTAGAATGTTTTAACATGGGAATATAACTATTTATATATTTTTGATTTGTATCAAATAGTCTATGTGGTTTCAGATCATTCACTTAGTACGCTTTAGTTGTTCCTTTACCAGCTTTGCATGTTAGAAATTGAAAACTATATCGAGCTAGTTGTTCTGTCTTATCGGTAATATTTTCCATTAAAAATAAAGACTTTGTTTGTTGTTAAGCGCCAAGCTACACAATGAACTATCTGTGCTGTGTCTACCACAGGTATCGAAACCAGATTTTTAACGTTTTAAGCCCTCAGACTTACCACTAAACCACTGGCATGAAAACTGGACTTTACCTTATATAACATTAAATGTTATAGTGGCACAGCGCTATATCTGCGGATTTACAACGCCTGGAAACCGCGTTCCAATACCTGTGGGGGGCAGTGACAGATAGCCCATTGTGTAGCTTTGTGCTTAACTTCAAACAAATGTCTCCATTTTGTGGAATAAATCTTATGGCGAGTCACTTTAAAATTATAAAACAAACAAAAATTATTTAGTTTTTACTTTTAAATAATTTATAAATAACGTAATTTCAACTTTGTTACATAGATTGAATATGACATAGGAATCAAATCAGTTGAAGCAGTCACAAAGCTGCCTTTTTTTAGAACAAGTTTAACATATTTTGTTGTTTCTAAATATTCCAATCGGAATATTACGTACTCTTTTTTTACTATACGTCGAAAAGTGTGCAGTTTCGTTTCACGCACAACTCTGGTCCCCCGGTGGGTCAGCGGTAAGAATACAGGCTTATAACACTAAAATCCGGGGTTCGATTTTTTGTGGATGACAAAACGCAAATTGTCAATAATATAGCTTCATGCTGAAAAAAAAAACAAAACACCGAAAAATACAAGACAGGAATGCGGGGTTTGTTGTTGTTGTTTGTTATTAAGCACAAAACTACACAAAGGGCTACCTGAGCTCTGCCCACCACTGGAAGACAGGAATGAGGGGAGATTCAAGCTTCTAAATACTAATACATGCCATATAATAATACTCTGTTGGATTCGAAATCAATAGTCCTATTTATTGTATACCTTGTGAATGAAATGTTTTATACATTGATCGTTCCTAGCTTTGCATGTTGTTGCAATTAACTTATAATTACTTTTATCATCACTTTAAGTCTGTGGTGGAATTGTGAAATAAATAATTTCTTGATAATGGAATAACTCATGACATGGCGAAACGCATTTTGTTGTTGGCAAACGAAACTATTAATTAATTAATATTTGGATAATTCTTCACGACAGAAAAAGTCTTTCGAAAACCCAAAAATGATTTTAACGTATAGAAGAGTATTTTAGTTCTTTGCTCGTAAAAAAAGTAAAGCCTAAATTCATCAGATTGATTTACTCTCGGCGAAATGTTTTGTATCCTTGATATCATTGTGTTTTATAATCACGTGCAACAATCTGTAATCTGTGTTTGGTAGTTTATTTATGTGTTGAAAATCATGTATTACCCGATTCAAAGAACACTACACCAACAATAAAAGTATATTGACACCTATCGAAACTAGCATATACGAAACCATTGTCATTATAATTTTCTTGGTTGACAAAAACACAAAGTTAATCCAATGAACGTAGTATAAAGTTTTATATCAGAACAGTTTTGGAATGTGATAAACAATCGTGTGTGTGTGTGTGTGTTTAGCAGGTTATCGTTCACGTTCATATTATTAAGTCTTGATGCTTGTTTTTTGCTTAAACATTTCATGTACTGGTTTCAAAAATTACACTTGTTATTGTTCTTATTACAATGTGCAGTACATTAAACGAAGTAACTTTAAAACAAGGGTTACATAAAATTTATCACTGTTCTAACGGGTTATTTTCTTTCTTTAGAGTTAGTTTCATTAAATGTTGTTGTTTATAATGTTTAAAATAAGTTTGTAGATTTGTTTTTAATTATAATCGCATTTATGACGATATTTTTGTATTGTTGGTCATAACCTAAATCTGCTAAGCTGGTTGAATCTCCAGAGATATTATGATTATAGCTAAAAATTATTACAAAAAAAAAAAAGACGAGGGCCCACTTGATCATGAAATTTAATCCGATTATCATAAAAGTTAGTTTTCTGGTGTAAGCAATTTGATGCATTAGGGATTTTAACCAGCTTGTCATATAGGAATGTATCAATCAGGGTTATTTTTTTAATGTTTTGATTTCATGTAGACATAAGTTATTTTTGCTGACAAATTCTTAACGCGTCAATATTAATACATATATATAGAATACAGACTTACTCCTTCGTTTCTCTAGGAATCTCCTTATGGGTCTGAGCCATTCCAGTCCGCATCCACATGTCCACACAACATAAGAAGCTCCAAAAAGCATAAAACACTGACCGATGGTCAATCTAATCATGATACTACTTAAAAAATGGGAAATAAACTCATAGTTAATGGGTAAAGGACTTGGGAAGCTGTGCTTTTAGAAAGAAGAATTAAAGTTACAGGAGAAAACACGAAGGCTACATCACGAAGGATTGGAGCTTTCTGGGCTGAGGGAATTGTGACATCATCAGTTAGGAGGCAAGCTATGCTGCTAAATTTGTCCACGAGGTGAACAAAACTTACGGTAGGTGTTCACTTTAGGGAAGAACTTTCCATCATTGGTGCTTGTATAAGGTGACATAGTGTGAGGGTTTATAACCTCGTTATAAAATTAGAAACATGACTAAAATATGGATATAAATGCAGCTGTAACGGAAGGGTTAAGGATGCAAATAAAGGCATGTTTAAGCTTGAAACAGCACTTTTGTTGCTTAGGGTGCAATCCCTAAAGTAGATATTTGTGCAATGCATTCCTCGAGTAATATACACGTTGCAAGCTCGTCAGATTTTAAAACATAAAAGTATGTAAGTCTACGTTTTATGCACAACAGTGTAAAATTGAACATGCAACACTACTGTTCACATATAAAATGTCTATTTATGCAGAATCTAAAGAAATAGAGCAATGACAAATGTTGAATTAACTGTTTCTTAGAATGCGCAGGAAAAAAAAAACAACAACAACAAAATTCGGATACCTTAACGTTTCTGTTGTTGTTTTTAACGATTCTTCAAACAAATATGATTACATTACACATAATTTGATTTTCAGTACACAGTCTTAAATCTGGATAGTAGCCAAGATTGCACAGTCGAGCAGGCGCCGATCGGTTAAACGGTGTACGTTATGGGTGATTTAAAACACACAAGACGTGGATAAGCGTCTTTATTTAGAAATATCTGTTTCTCGGTATGTGACCATATTTATTCAGTTGATTAGTCAAACTGTATAAAGGACTTTTCAGTTTAAATATGAGATGTTAAAAAACACAAGAGAATTAAGATTTCTTCTCATTTCCATTGATTTGGCTATTAAGTTGCCCCCAGTGGCTAAGTCTGAAGGCTTATTACGCTGAAAACCAAGTTTCGATACTCATGACGGGCACAGCAGAGATAGCCGATTGTATGTGTAGCTTTGCGCCTAACAACAAACAAACAAAGTCTATTAAGTTGGCAACATTAATGACATCTGAAAAAAATCTCCCTTTTTTCTTTGATTTAAGACCGTATATAAGATATTAAGAGCTGTAAAGGCAGTGCGTTTTTCACAAACCGCAAATACTGAATATTATATGGTTTTTTATCACACAATCTAGGCCTACTTACATTATTGGTATTAATGCTGAAAGTGGCTATTGGCTTCACGATAGCAAAACAGTTTACTACGTCGAACTTGTTCAATATTTAATAGTAATAACATAATTTGTTGTATGTTTAGTATTAAACTGTTTAGTGATTTTTTTAACATTAATGATATTTAAAATATTAGGATATGTCTTGTTCAATATTTAATAGTAATAACATAATTTGTTGTATGTTTAGTGATTTTTTTTAACATTAATAATATTTGAAATATTAGGATATGTGATTTGAGAACTGTTTGGAAATAATGCTGTATATGTTAAATTATATGTAAATATATTTTTTATCCTGACACACATATATAACGGTTAGTTTTTGTGTTAGCATTTTCGCGCAAAGGTACATGAGGTCCATCTACGTATAGCCATCTTTAACGATGGGCTGCTAGATTAGAGAAAAGACAGCTAGTAAACAGCATCCATCGCCATCTTTTGGGCTACTTACAGTTCACACGCAGCCCTAAAGTGCGTAACACGTTTTTGCGGTAACGGGACTCGCTGAAGACGACGCGTTTAGGAGCGTCGAAACGTGTTGAGTGTACTAAAAATGTAGACTAGTCTCAAATAAAAATGTTTTTCTTGTGTTATCTAAAAAATGTTTTTTAACTATATTTATTTAGTTATTTTGTTTAAAGGACACAGTTTCCAATAAAAGAGCACTACCATGCATTCAATTTAGTAGCTTTGTTTAGAGAGCATTGTTTTCACCTACCACGCTCTGCTGCGGGGTTTAAAGGCCCTCCCTACATGATTCACAGAGACCAAGCTCTTCTTTTTACTTTTATTTACGTCTATAGCTACCTCAAGGGGGGATCCGTAACCGAACAAAAACCCGGTAGGATTCTTGCTCGTGCTATCTAAGCACGTGCCAAGGTTGGTTCCGCTAGCATTGTGGGGTATATGAGCACAGCTACAAAATAGGGCGCCCCCGGGATTCCGAAGGGAGCCAGGTTTAGTGACCCTGAAAACCTACTCTTAGGCCCCCATCAGACCTTTTCGGTAGGAGGATGTACCATATAGATAAGAATATCCCCTTGGACCACTCAGAGTCTATCTTTCAAGTTTGGTCCTAATAGGTCCAGAACTGTGGGAAGAGTTAGCTGTACATACGTACAAAGTCACAAGTTGAATTTATATATGATAAGAATACCACCAATCAGTAAGTTCAGAGTTTTGTTTAGTGTGTATAATTCTGTGGAATTTTCTAAAAGGAGCACTGCCATGTATCAAAACAATAAGGGCCAACGTCTCAATTTTAGGACACAAGTTCAATCATTATATATTCAAAACTTATGAGTGAACTGTTTTAACTAATTCAGATTGCGTTGATATTACATTGTTTTGTATAGAAACTGATTTTGTATAGAAATGTAGACAAACTGAGATTTATTTAAAGTTTCATCAACCATTGCACAGTTAGATTTTGTTGATATTTGCTTATTAGTTTTGTGCTCAGTTCCCTGTTCGGTATTTGCTGCTTTAGAGGATTGCTACAAAAATATGGATTTTTTTTAAAAATTAGATGGTGTTTTCATGTTCATATGACAACCATAAAACTAAACACATACACTCACAAAATAAAATAAAATGCTCAAAAATTATTTCTGGCCATTAATGGGTTAAGTT